GCGAAGGGCGTGAGAGGAGGGCGCCGCCAAGATGGCGACAGCGGCAAGGCTGAGAAGCGCATTAGCTACATAGACGAAAGCGCCAAAGAGACTGATGGGGTCAGAGTGAGGAGTGCATGTGCGCAAGAGCGAGAGTTGAGGCTGTGCGGAAGCGGTGGGGATGTCGGGCTTGTTGCGGATGTGCACGAGTCTGGCGGTGATGAGCAAGATGGCGACACACGATGGCAGAATGACAAAGATGGCATTGGAGAAGGTGACGGTAAAGTCGAAGAAGCGGCAGTTGGAGACAGGCGTGAAGACGCCGACGTTGCACATGGACATGGTGTTGCGTAACGTGGGCGGCGGGCGATGCACCGCGCTCTCGATGATGGACGCAACCGGTCAAATGGCGACGTGAAGGAGTCGGATAGGATGGTGTCTATGAAGGAGAAGAGATGTGAGGGTGGAGAAGGACTGACAGCTAGAGCGTATCAGTTTTTGAGCATCTCGACGAGGAAAGCTGAGTCGTCGTACTTGAGCAAGATAGCAAGACCCCGGCGTGGGCCATAGGAGTGCGTTGCGGAGGAGGCAAGGGGTTCCAGCGGAAAGCAACACTTCTTCAAGTGCTATCTCAGGATGCCGCAGGTCCAGCGGTCTTTGTCGTGGCTCAGTTTCGCTCAGGTTGGCCGAGCATGGGACTGTCGGCGCCCACGTCGAGAAGCGAGCGAGCAGGCTTGTGGTCGCGTGCGTTCGGCAAAGCAAAGCCTTGCATGGCACAAAGCGACGATAACGCAGGGTCTCGAAACTGTTCCTGGCTGAGTTTTACCTCTTGGCTCATGAAACGCAGCACTTACAACCGCCATTGCTGTCGAGCCCTTCGCTGATAGTAGAACGCCATCATCTCATGCGATCCCATCTCGCCTGATGGCCACGTTCCAACCACCGCTTGATCATGGGAGGAAACGTCTTTGCGTGACAGCGGTAAAGGCTCTCTTTTTCCTTTCTTTTTTTCAGACCGATTTTTTTTTTTTTGGCACGCCGACCCGTTCGGAAGGACGTCTTCCGTGATTTTCATACAGACGAAGCGCAGCTCAGCACACCGGTGCCTGGCTCAGCCCTGCTCGTACGGTGGGTGCTTGCAGGTGATGCAGCCTGACATGCACCACGATGACTCGTTGACGTCCGTACATCTCCGTGGACTATCACGCTCTGTGTGAGGGTGCCGAGCCAGTGGGATTCATTCTGAAAGGCCCGGTATACTTTGCGGATATGCAATTTTTGGCCCAGCGGCCGGTCGTCGGTCCACCTTTGCACACTCAAGACCACACGACCTCTATCGTTATCATGATTGCATTCCGAAGGACAAGATCGACACAAACTAGTGTGAAGCGAAAAGCGAAGAAGGGGGACGCTGGAAGCATCCAGAATAGAATACAGCAAAAGAGCAAATGTTCGGTACAGCAAAAAGGTGGCGTGTGTAGACATCAACTTACGCCTCAATGGTAGCCATAGCCCAAGCTCGGCAGCTGAGGCGGTCGCTCGCTACCGCGTCCCGAGCTCAGCTGGTGGTTGATGACGTTGTACGGATCGGGTGCATAGCCACCGGGTGGGCCTGCTGAGGCGCCATATGCACTGTAGTCGTACGATGGCCTGCCGTAGCCAGGCGTTGCTGCACGTGCATCAGCAAACGGATCCGCGTTGTACGCTGGGCTCATGCCGTACTTGGCTTCGATGTCGGCCAGCGGATTGCCGCCTCTGCGGTCGTACGAGGACATTTGAGGGGGTCCAACGGCAGGCGCGGTCGGCATCGCACCATATCGTCCATCTCCACCGTCGCCGTACCTCGCCGATTTGGCCGTTTCGTCAAAGGCGTCGTCGTCATCGAGATCATCGATGGGCTCGAAAGCCGAGTCGTTCCTGGGATGCACAAAAGGTGGGATGCGAGGACCGGTCTTGCGTTCGATCCTCCACTGGCGCAGGAACAAGAGCAAGGAAAGGAACCACGTCACCCACAGCAACCAGCAAAAGGCAGCCTCGGCGCGTTTGGTGCGACACCAGCCGCCAAGCTGCTTGACAAAGTCGGCGCGATCCTTGCCGCCGGCGTGGGGGTCCTTGGCGGGGTTCTTGCATCCCGCCGAGGTGAAGGCGGAGATGGTCTGTGTCATGGCGAGGATGAGAAGCAAAAAGCCAAAGATGCCGTTGCTGACCAGGCCGACCCTTGCTTCGGACAGGGCACGAGCGAAGCCCTTCATGGTCTTGTATCCAGAACGCTCGTAGATCATGGGTACGACGAGGAAGATGGACGACGTGACCAGGCTGGCCGACGTGAGGAAGAGCAGCAAACCCGTAAGGCCCGACGGACTGCCGACCCATTTGGCTTGGAACGACGCCATGTATACGGCGATGAGCAGCGAGACGAGAGCGAAAAACACCTGGGCCTGACGCAGGATCATGTTGACTCGTGCTACTCGTTCTTGGTCCGCATTGAGTGGGCGCGGTGCTGACGCTGCTGCTGCTGCCGTGTTGCCGATGCCCTGAGCGTAGGGACCTGCCGGGTTTGACTGGTCTACGGCACCCGAATCTAGCTTGCCCCACACCTTTTTCAGCGACATGAAGTCGGGCATGGTGGCGACTTTTCGAAGAAGGACTTGAACTGTATATCCGTTGCTTCCCTTGGTGATTGTTCGACGAAGGAGCCTAGGTTCGCGAGTACTAAGCTAGCGTCTTCCTCGTCCGTGTCCAATTGCGCGGGGTAGGTGATAGCCTGTAATAGGATAGATCGTACGGGCGTGATGGTGCGTAGGGGTGCGTAAGAGAGATGATGGAGGTGATGGTGGAAGAGCATGAACGAGCGCAAGCCATCATGCACCTTTCTGCACGATCTCGACGCAAGCACAGCCAACGAGCCAAAAAAAAAAGATCCAAAAAGGGGCTGCTGAAACCCCTCTCTCCCTCTTTCATAGATGTTGATTTGACGCGGCTGTGTGTGTGTGCTTTGGTGGAAATTAAGCTGCGAACCCACTTTTTTGGAACCCCTAAGCCCAACCAAGCTCACGCGCCGAGACCAACACCAGGCGAATTTTGTACAATGTTACACCGATATTTGCAATGGCTGCAAAAAAAAAAGTTGCGCTGTGCCTCCGAGTTCCGACTGCTGACCTCATACTCGAAGCTTTGGCAGTCAAGGGTCTTCTTTGAGCTACACAACCCCTTCTCGTCACCACACTCTACCCAAGACGGCGCAGCAACACCAGCGATCATGCATCCTGTAAGTCGGAGCTGTGTCTCTTGGATCAACTGTCGACCCAGGGCTGACCGTGCATCCTTCTCTTCTTCCTGTCTCTCCAGCATCTGGTCGGTGAGAGCAAGTTGCAGCGTACGTACACGAACCTTTACTTGAACCCGAAGACGGATCAATCGCTAACACTTTGTACACCATCGACTGCCCTCCTACAGACTGCGCACACCTCATTCAAGCGCTCAACGAATGCCATGCCAAGGGCGTCTGGCACAAGATCACCGGTGGCTGCAACGGGATCAAGCACGATCTCAACATGTGCCTTCGACAAGAGGTGAGTTATGCATGCTTTCCACTTGAAAGGGATGCAGTTGCTGACAAAAGCATTGCTTCTTATCTGCGTCACAGCGGGTGGAACGCACAGCCAACCACATCAAGGAATCCAGAGAGAACCGCAAAAAGACCGAGCAAATATGGAAGCAGATCGACCAAGAGTCGTAGCTTTCTAGAAGCGCCGCCGTTTGGCTTGCATTGTATTTTATCATTTCAACATGTACCATCAACCCTCCAATCTTGCTCACCGTTCTCATCGACTGCAGCGCAACAGAAGGCTGAGGTGACACAGGCAAAGTGACGAGAACACAACGGATTCTAGGAGCAGACACAAGAGATGACGAAAACAAGACAAACCCAAAACTGCAACGCTACTCAACCTAACGAATCGGTCCGCCTCTAGCCGGATCCTGCGCCGCCGAGCTTCCGGCACCATCCAGCGCGAACTCCCTCAAATCATCCAGCGACACGACGTCGAGCGCGCGCTGGTGGGTCGCCTCGAGCTTCACCTTGGGCACGCCGTCCTTGGGCAGCTCTCCGCGCCTGTACGCGTCCAGGCTCTGCTTCCAGCGCGAGACGCACAGGCACCACGAGCAGCCCTGCGAGAGCATGGGGCGCAGGTCGTTGCCCTTGGACGCCGAGAAGTCGAGCCACTCTTGCGACACGACTGCGGCGACCGTGTGCGAGCCGCCGTCGGCTGGGCCTGTGTTGCAGTACTGTGATGCCGAAATCGAATGAAAAGGTCAGTGTGAGTTGTAGGATTGGATGAAGGGGAAGGGAAGCAGACGTACGCCATCGCGGTAGAACCCAGTCATGGGGCTGGTGCCGCACTGTCCGAGCGGACGGCCGAACACGTTGAGCGGGCGCTCCATCCTGAACGGGTTGTCAACGAGCGAGTCACCGCCGCTCCCTCGACGCTCCGAGGCGTAGCTTGCGTTGCGAGACGTGGTGCCGTTTGCGTGCGCAGCAGCAGCCGCTTTGTGAAGCGTAGACCGAGACGCTCCCACGTCCGGAATCACCCTGGCGCTAGCAACGAGAAGCAGTAGCGAAAGGGTCCTGGCCGTCGCTCCTCTAGTAAGTCGTGTTGTGGTAGCGCAAGAGGCAAACGGCGCCAACATGGGGTTGCGCTGTGGAATGATGGATAGTCGTGGTCGATGGTCAGGTTGGAGACGCACAGCAACATGACGTGCACGACGGCAGGGCGGATAGCACCTTAGTCAACCAACGCCCTTGCCCGCTCGGTTACGGCGATCCAGAAATCGCGGTGCGCCTATTCTCGCTCTCCGTCTTTGACTCCATAGCGCCGAGCCGCTGCACAAACGGCGCAAAGACCGCTTCGCCTCGCCGCTTTCGATGAGAAGCATGTGGAGGAATATCACTCATCAGAGGCATTGCGAAAAGGGCCTAGCCATTCATTTTTTAACAGCTGTTCGCCCAGTATATGTAATCGGGCAAGATGGCCGAGTGGTCTAAGGCGCTGTGTTCAGGAGATCTTCAGTCTCATCGCAGTCTTCGGGCGTGGGTTCGAATCCCACTCTTGTCACTTAGTTTTTTTTTTTCGTTACATTTTTGGCACGCTTTTTCGCGGTCCTTTTTTTTTGGTCGGAATCACACCCTAAACTTGCACACACAGCTCGAAAGGGTTGCAGCTTCACAGGGCACAAAGAACGACCAAGCAGCTAGAAGAGACTTGTCACGATTCTTTCATACTGTCTATCAGAGAGACACGACAGAGCATCAACACTCGATTGCGTTCCTGGACTCGTTTCAGACGAAAAGCTATGCCCAAGCACCACCACCGCCCCACGCATCGCCACCGGACCCAAACGCATCACTCGGCTTACTCTTGCCGCCCTCACCCACGCTCTCCGCCACAACGAGCAAACTCGCCCTCGCCTTCTTCTTGGCGCCGTCCGCATCCGCCTCGCTTCCGATCTTGCGCTTCTTCCCACCCCTGTCCGCACTCTTGGCCTGTTTGCGCAGATCGATGATGCCGGCCACGCTCGTGTTCTGCTTCTCGGCCTTTTCGACGGGCTTCTTGGACGCCGCTTTGGCGGGTGTGCTCTTGACACGCTGCGCAGGCGTCGCGTCGTCGAACGTGTCCAGCTCGGTGTGTGCTTTGCTCTCCTTCTTTCGCGCTTTCGAGAGCGCGGAGGAGGCGTCTTCGAGCACGCCTTCGGCGACTTCGGTTCGGCCGGAGGCGATCTTGGCGCGCTTTTTGGACAGCTCGTAGATGGGTGCCAGGCGTTGTTTTTCCTCGGCGGCATCGACGGGTTCGAAGAAGCTGTTGGTCTTTTCGGGTTTCGTCGTGGTGGAGGAGGCGGTGGCGTCGGGGTTGGGCTTGCTGGCCTTCTTGCCGGAGCGAGAACCGCGTTTGTGTTTCGGCTTGGAGCGGTCGTCCGCGTCTTCGGCGCGGGCGGTGGGGGGCTTCTTGGTGGGTGGAGCTTTGCCGTTGGGTTTGGATTTGGAAGCATGGCTCTTGGCATCGGATCGAGAGAGTGGCGCTTGACCGCGGCGGAGAGCGCGCATCTCGGCAGCCATCTGCGTTGCTTCGTCGTCGTCCTCGTCGTCGTCGCTGTCGGACTCCTCGTTGCGACTCTTGCCAGCGCTGCTCTTTGGTGCAGGCTTGCCACGACGCAAAGCTCGCATCTCTGCAGCCATCTGAGCCGCCTCGTCATCGTCCTCCTCCTCCTCATCTACACTGTCGTCCGCCTCGACCTCACGTCTGCCTCGCTGAACGCGCTGCTGCTTCTTGCCCTCCTTCACCGCATCGTCCTTTTCCGCCGGTCGACCCCTCGGCTGCAGCCTCTCGTTATCCAGCACGCGCAGCGTCGGGTGCACCTGCAGAATGCGCTCCTTGTAACCCTCCTCGCCCGTGACACCATTCCCCTTGAGCAGCAGCTGCGTGAGCCCCTTGCGCCTCAGTCTCGGCTGCGACTCCTTCCCGTCCTCGGCCTCGACGAGCGTCGACAGCGACGCCCACGTGTCCAACCCGCAATCCTTGAGCTCGAGCAGCTCCAGCCCGGGCGCCGTCTTGCCATCGGCGCCCTTGCCCCAGTTCTTCACGTGTGCCGGCAAACCGCGCAGGCCAGGGTTGTCGTTGAGACGCACCTCGCGCAGCGCGAGGCACAGCGAAAAGTCCGGCAGGCTCTGCGGGCCTTGGAGCTTGTTGTGCCCCAGCGAGAGCTTTTTCAGCGCCGGCAGCGCGGCGGGCAGCGAGGCCGGCAGCGACTCGATCTCGTTGTGCGACAGAATGAGCGAGTTGAGCTCCGGCAGGTGCGGGAACGAGGCGGACAGGCTGGTGATGGCGTTGTTGTTGAGCACTAGCGCCTTGAGGTTGCGCAGCGGCGTGATGGAGGGGGGGACGGAGGTGAGCGCGCAGTGCGAGAGCGTGAGCACGCACAGCTCCTCGAGCGCTTCCAGGCCGATACAGTTTTCAGCGGTGAGGTGCGGATTTGACGAGAGATTGAGCCAGGTCAGGTTGTCGCCGAATGCGCGCCCTTTGCCCTTGGTGGAGGCTTTGCTGCGGAAGACGGCTTTGGCAAGCCAGGTGAGCGTGTTGAGTCCCTTGGGAGAGGTTTCGGAGGGTTGGATGGAGGACAGGTCGAGTCGCTGGAGGTAGTGGAATTGAGCGAGCGTGTCGACCAGAGCTGCGAGAGGTGGGAGCTGGTGCCCTGCCAGCGAAAGTGCTGTCTTTGAGCGAATGTCCTCGTTTCCGGATTCGGATTCATCTTCCTCTTCATCGTCGTCTTCATCGTCATCGTTGCCCTTGTCGTCGTTCTCCCCTGCTTGCGAGGGCGCACCACCTTGTGGCCCTGCTGCCTTCTTCTGACTGCCACTTCTCTGCACAGCGGGCTGAGCATCACGAGATCGCTTTACGTGATTGCTCCCAGAAGCAGCGGCATTGCTGTCTGCGGGCCTGCTTTTGCCCTGAGCCCGTTTCTTGTAGAAAGCCGAACTGGTCGATGATGCTGGACCAGCGCCGGTCGATGCGCGAGCTGCAGCAGCTCGATTGCGTTCTGACTTGATCGGTCCTTTTGGCTTGTTGGCTGTTGTCGTCCTCGCCAGCGCCATCGTCGCTGTTGCTGCTGGTCGATCTATGGAAGGATGAGAAGGAAAGGAAGAAACGAATGCGAAACTCGAAATTTGTGGAGTTTTTCTCACAAAAAAAGAGCAAAAAAAAAGGGTCGAGACAAAATTCGGATTTCGGGTGAAGCAGCCAGCGTAGCCAGACAAGGCCATGTGCGACTGTCGTACAACGCAACGGTTTGAGCGCCGCCGGACACGCACAGGAAGATCAACACCAAGGCCCACACATCCTCAAATCTCGACGGACATCGTCCACCTCCTCCCGTCTCTACCTCATTCAGATCACACACGGGAGTCGAAAGACAGTTGCAGCTTGGAATCGCCACCACCACACCACCTTGCGAGCGAGCGCTCCGACCAGCCCCCGCACGTGCCATGGCGTCCGACCCAGTAGGCGCTGCCATCGCGCTAGCTGGAGTCCCCGACGAGCCGGCTTCCCTCCACTCCGACGCACTGCGCCCGTCCATAGACCGCCCCTCATCACACACACTACGCCCAAAGGCGAGCTCGGACAGCATCCCACTGCCGGAAGAGGACGAGGACGAGGATGATTTCGTCGTGTTCGAGGACCGCAACACCTTGCCAGCCCTGAAACTGGCCGATGCCGAGCTGGACGACCTGGAAGATGTGGCGAGCGGAGGTGGGAAAAGATCGACATTGAGTTCGATGGCGAGGGCGAGCATGGAGAGTCTGTCGTTTGGGTATCGCGATCATCTGCTGCCGCTCAGTCTGAGTGGGGATGGCGATGAGACGCTCGCGGGCGATTATGGCGAGAGGGAGGGGTCTGTTTCGGCTGCAGCGAGAGGGGCAGGGCCTGTATCAAGGGCGGGATCGTCGTCACGGTATCGACGGCACACGAGAGGCTACTCGCGCGACAGACTCGCCGAGCGGCGCGTGACGCTCATCGACGCCATCGCACTCACCATCGGCGTGCAGATCGGCTCGGGCATCTTCTCGTCGCCCGGCGTCGTCACGCTCAACACGGGCAGCATCGGCGCGTCCATCGTCATCTGGCTTCTATCCGGTCTGCTGGCATGGACGGGCGCGTCGTCGTTCGCGGAGCTCGGTGCGTCGATCCCGCTCAACGGCGGGTCGCAGGCGTACCTCAACTACTCGTTCGGTCCGCTCTCGGCGTTTCTGTACACGTGGTCGGCGCTGACGGCGCTCAAACCGGGAGCCGGTGCGATCATCGCGACGATCTTTGGCGAATACGTTGCGCGCATCCTATTCCACGCTACGGGCAAGGTGGCGGACCATCCGCACGAGACGGGCCTCGACGGCATCCCCGCGTGGTCGATCAAGCTGCTCGCCGTGGCGATCGCTGCGCTCATCACCGCCGCACACGCGTTCTCGAACAAGCTCGGCACGCGCACGCAGATCGCCACCACCGTCGTCAAGCTGCTCGCGCTCACGGCTGTGCCCATCCTCGCCATCGTCCAGGCGGCGCGCGGCAGGACGAGCCCCAGCTCGCAGCAGGCGTTTTCGAGCCTCAGTGCGCTGTTCGCCGGCAGCTCCACGTCGCCCTCTGCGTACGCGCTGGCGCTGTACAGTGGATTGTGGGCGTTTGACGGCTGGGACCAGTCGTGCTTTGTAGCGGGCGAGATGAAGCGGGTGGAGAAAGATCTGCCGCGCGTGATCCATTTCAGCCTGGCGACGGTGATCCTCATCTTCCTGTCGGCGGTGGTGTCGTACTTTGTGGTGCTGCCCGCGGAGCTGGTGAAGCGCACCAACACGGTGGCGCTCGACTTTGGCAGTGCGATCTTCGGCACGGCGGGCGGCATCGTCTTTGCGTTCCTCGTGGCGTTTTCGTGCTTCGGCGCGCTCAACGGCCAGATCTACACCACGGCGCGCCTCATCCTCGCCGCCTCGCGCGAAGGGTACCTGCCTGAGCGGCTCGGCGAGCTCAACAGGCGCACCGGCACCCCGGTCGCAGCGTTGGTGCTGCAGCTCGTGCTCATCTCGGCGTTCATCCTGCTCGGCTCCGGGTTCGCCTCGTTGGTCAACTTCTACGGCGTCTGCGGCTGGACGTTCTATCTTGCGTCCGTGCTGGGACTGCTCGTGTTGAGGATCAAGGAGCCGAACCTGAACCGGCCGTATAGGACGTGGTTGGCGACGCCGATCTTGTTTTCGGCCGTCGCGCTGTTCTTGCTGCTGATGCCGATTGGCAGTGCGCCGTTGGAGGGGCTGGCTGCGTTGCTGTTCATCGCGGCGGGCGTGCCTGTGTATTATCTGACGCAGAGTAGGGCTGGATGGGTGGGGAAAGTTCCTTTCCTGGCACGGGTTAAGGGGCTGTTTGGGAACGGTGCGGGCGGTGCGAGTGCAGCGGATGGGAGAGGACATCATGTGCCGTTGCCGACATCGGATGCTGCGGAAAGAGGGACAGAGGAGGAGGAAGAGGAACAGATCGAGATGCTTCCCAAGGCAAGGGAGGAGGCCAAGCAGCAGTCATGAAAC